CTCCTGCAAACTTTCATCTCCAGTATCCCACTGACGAGAAATCGTCACAGGCATCCCTTGTTAAAATTAGTCCGACACGCACGTAAGACAACCAAATCCCCCGAGACGGAAGGACAAGCCTCCGCCGCTCCCAAAACACCCTCTCTCGCCCATCCGCTCCTCACAGGTGCTTCCCGGCGGCACGCACGCATGCCCCATTCCCACCGGAATAAACAAACTGCACAATCCACCCGAGTTTCTTCTCCCTCGTCCGCCCTTCCTTGCCAACCAGTCCACTCCGACGGAATACCTCGTCCACGCGACCAGTCCCAACCCAATCACAATTGCGTCCCGCCTCGATCCACCTCCCCCCTACCGCTTGCTCTCTGCCGCGTCAGCCCTAATGTGCGTCGGGCAGAATCTCCCACTACTGTAGTTGCTGCCCGCACCCGCGCAGAGGAGAGTTGACTATGGCACCCGATTAATGCCCTCTCGAGACCACATCTTGCGCACCGCTTGGGGTGCAGAGGTGCTGTGTCTGGACAAACTGCTACCGCTAGCGCTGCAACTGAGCCACATGGCACTCGCCAGTTGCGGAGGGTGGAGTGGGAGGCTCTCCGCCGCTTTTGTTGGCCGATGCCAATGGCGGTGCGAGTGGAAGCGCTATTCATCTCCCCTCACACTCTCTCGCCGCCTACATGGACAGTCGCAGAGGGACTGTAGGTGGGGATCACTTCCTTCTGCGATACTGTGCCCTGAAAAATGTGGCACAAATCTCCACTCCGTGACACAATTGCCTCTCAGATTGGAAGGTCCGTCTTTAGCGTCATGCTAGAGCCGCTCCCGCCCCGGAGTTGCCGCCGTCGTCGCCGCTACGCCACCCTTTCCCATCCATAGAGAGGTCGTTGTCTACGGACAGCTTTTGAGAAACCTCGTCGAAAGGGAGCGCTTTGTTCATTCATTTTTTCTGTAAGTAGGCCAGATTTAGATCTCTTTTTTTATCGCACCGCCGAAGGACACCATTATCATCACTCAGCATCTTTGCGATGGCGCAGAGATCAAAGATCACAGAACTTTGGAATACAATTCAGTTCCCGCGATGCAGTCCACATCCTTATATGAATAGTCTTGAGAGGCTTTTGGCAACGGCGATTCTGTTCGATGCGATTCCGCCGAAAGCAAAAGCTCCCATCAGTGCGATGATGTATGGCCCTTTTTAGCTTTTCCTCAAGACGCACTGCTTCTCTTCTGCGTTGTCTTGACGCAACGTCTTTGGTGTAATCTAATTGATCACAATCGTTCATCAGGCCCCATTCTTCAGAAGCAATGTGAATTGGTAAATAGAACCCGCCCTGACTCTTGATTTATTTATACCCTACAACCTCAACGGAAATATCTACCCGCACGGTTGTCACTGTTTCTTCAGAATCATGCACGCCACGTTACACGCACAAAGAAAACAAGTCACGCATTCTTAGGTCCATCTCATGTCAAGGCTGAATGCTCTTGTGGTGAACCAATGGTGGTTCTGATGAACAAGAATCTCATCACAAAGCATTCCAACGTTTTCTTGCTCCAAGAACAACACTCTGCGATATTCCTCGTCCATAGCCTCACTTCTGCTTCCAGAGTCACGGCTCTAGGGCGCAAAAGGGACTGTTATATTTTTCAATCAGGTATCGTGCTTATCGAAGCCTTCAAAACATGCTTTTTGCTTCTTTCCAAACCACATCGAGGCATCGCATATCATACCACAACAAACCACTGATGCATACCCCGGCAAAAACTGCACCAATAAACCTCCCAATAGGGTAACTACGTACAGTACCGGTACCTCAAGTATCTCCTCAAGTATCCTCAAAAATCTTGCATTGTATTTATTCAAATCATTTCATTACATTTTAGACTTGGTGTTTCTAAAGGCGGCTGTCGCTAAAGCTCTCAACGTCCTAAGCTGATAATCATGGGATCTTAGCCTTACGCTGTCTGTTCCAGAACATTGTCTCATTAGATAGTGTGAAATAGCCTTGTTTCAAGGCATACTCATCTGATCCTTGCTTTTTAGATGGAGAACAGTTTGTAGCAGAACCCAGTTTTTCATCACTCAGACAAGCCCCTGGAAGTTGTCCTTCTGGCTGTTGGTACCAGCTTGTTTATGTATGTTTGCTTCC